ATTAGGCAAAGAACTCGACAACCTCTTTCTGTTCTCGGAACTTCTCCCTATGAACAAACATTCCATCTCCTTTCACTCACTCAATTCTACATCAGTACTTAAAAACAAACAAATGATTCCAACAAATTCCTTTGGTTTTGGAGCTTTCACTAGGAGGAAATACTAAAAACAATACATCCCGTAATTGGGAAATTTCTTACAATCAAATATGTGAGGATTCATTGCAAAATGAAAACAAAAGAGCATGCTCTCAAGGCCATATGATGTGAGAGCTGAAACAGTTGCTGGTTTTTCAGTGGCATCCATGCATCATTCCTGATGTTTCCACAGGATTGCTTACAAGGAGCTCAATGCAGTCCTGAAGTACTTCCTATCTTGCTATTTCATTCTAATTCTTTGCAAGGAAAAATGGGAGCTTGCCCAAAATCTTAGCTAGTTTCACTTTCTTTCTTGAAACCCTTCCCTGCTTTCCTTTTTAATGTTGTCACGTTGCTTGGATTAGGACAGATTCCATTTTAAACAACCTTCATAGCAGCAAAGGGAGACACAAGCCCAAGGGGGTTTGCCACATGCAGTTGCTGTGAAAGATCCAGCTCCATTGGGCTGGAGTGTGTTTATTCTGCCATTTCTGTCTTTCAGTTTCTAAGCTGTTCAGTATTTGGGGGAAAAAATAGGGATCTTGCTGACTGAACTCTTTAGAGGATGAGAGTTAGATATATTTTCACTTAATTATCTATAGGCATTCGTGAGGAATCTCTTGTCTCACTTGGCATTCCCCCAAGCTTGCTGTCTGCTTGTCCTGACTCCCAAATCAGCACCCCTCTTTTTTTAACAAGAGCTGAACAGCCAGTGTGCCTGTGTTGATACAGTCTGTTTTTCCCCAGCCCCTGTCTTCTGCATCAAGTTTGGAGGGCAGCTTCATTCTGTTTTTGCACAGTGTTTAATAACGTAAGACACCTTTACAGCACGTTAATATGATCAGCTACGTTGGTAGCTGAGGAAAAACTAACTGGAAGAGTTAAATTCAGTCCCTTCAGTTAAATGATTTGAAGGGATTTATCACCAGCCAAGTTCTAAGGAAGGAATACATTATATATTTACACATAAATTTAATGTGCGTGTTCTCTTGCATCATTGCACTAGACTTCAGCAGTTGATCTTTTTTGGGTAGGATAATACGGAAAAGTTATACTTCTTTTTCTGGTACCCAAAAAGCAACTCACATATTTGATTTTAAGGTTGGGCTACCTCAGAAGAGGTGTTTTGGAGCCTGTTTAAAAAACAAAACAAAACATAACCTTGGCCTCCCTGTTCTACAGCCACTAATGTTTTATCAGGTCGGAGCACTTATGCTCAATGTTACACGATATTGTAGCACAATAAGGACATTCTGAATCATGTATGCATGGTATGTATATTTATAGAGAGTCATATATCATGGTGGCACTACAGGTTATAATAATGAAAGTGTAAAGCAAGTACCCTATTTTATATTTTACAGACTTTTTTTTCAGTCAAAGAGCCAAGTTTTAAGACTTGGCAAATGATACGTATTTAAAGAATGTAATTTCTTGCTGCTTTCAAGACAGTGGTAAGCCTGTTGAATAATATGGTAGTAATACAATGTTAATTTCTGCTGAATACTGTTTTATGGCATTTCTGTGTCAAGGCCTATTGAAAAGTTCAAACCTGCTTAGTTTTCCATCAAGTAGCTCTTGATGCATACTGAAAATTACTTAAAAATAACATCATAGATGCAAATTTAGGACCTAAAAATCAGGAAGCAATGATACGGAAGCTGCTTGTGTAGTTGTAGCTCAGCACTTCTTGCTTCTGCATCTTGCAGAAGCCTCAAATTATGTCATGTTACACCACTCGTTCTGCAGGAAAGCTGCCTCATTCAGTGCCAAAGATAGAGGTCTCATGTTGCAAAGAAAAGGTGACATGAAGAAAACATAACATTCTTTTTTAATTTAGGGGCCGAGACTGGGTTGCAAGAGCAGTGCCTTCTGCTCTCATACTGAGTGCGTGCAAGGGGGGCGAATCCTGAAGGGAATGTTGCTTCTGACATCTGCTAATATTATTTTTTTACACACTTTAAAAGATGGATGTGTGTTTATTTTAATTTTTGTATGCTATACAAAAGCGCCTTGAAAGTTAGCTATTAAAACCTGGAAATTATTTTCAAAATGAGAGAGGAAGTCAGTACTTGGGAAGTGGGATAAACCAAAGCACGAGGTGTTCTTTTTGTTGTGTTCACTTGTGTCACAGTTCAGCCTTGTGACTCTGTAATCTCTTCCTTCCGTTACACATTATGACTGCCAAGGATAACTGACGTTTCATTTTTTCTATATAACTTGACATGGCCTCTGCTGAGGTGGGTGTCAGGGAAGTTAAGTGAAATTTCTTATTTGGAGCAAAGGATACATGACTTCTTGTCTGTCGTGCCTCATGCACTTTGCTCCTACTTGTGGTAACTTTTTCATCTTGCTGTGCCCTTTTTCAAAAGGCTTGGCTGTTTTGGTTTCAGCTTTAAAAAACAGTGTTCTTTTGCTGCCTTTGTAGTGCATTTCAGAGAGATAGACACACACAGTGGTTAGTGTCTTTTTCATGCTGAGTAAAGCTACAAGGAGCTGCTGCTTGTGAGGAGAATTACAGCTGTGTTTCTAGGTGAAGAAAAAGCAGAATTTGACTTTTAAAACTATTCAGTGTGGCCATCCTGCTCAGGTTTATGTCTGAGATTCATAATCTTATCTAAGCATCAGGTTATCGACCGAATTATTATTTATTTTCTTCATCTTCTGGAACTAACAAGAGAATATAAACTGGCAACGACAACAAAAAAAATTCTGCTGTGTGAGATTGTTTCCCATATGCCCAGAGAAAGGAAGAAAGATGCACACAAACGTTTACATGTGCAAGTTTCTTGGTGCGTGATTGGTTCCCTACTTAGGAGTGGAATTCAGTGAAATCGGACCCCGCTTTTAAAAACAAAGAGTAAGCGCACAACAAAGGATAAGTGATAAAATGATTAGCCAGAGGCTAACAGGAATGCGAGGGAAGAGTGACAGATTGCGGATTAGGAGGAAATCTGATCTGAAATTAATTTGAAGCTTTCTGTAGCCGAGGCTGCAAAAGAGCTAATTTTGAAGTCTTTCTGAAGGATCTAAATACATGAAAATGCTGACTTGCTTGTGTAGAAAGGATGGTATAAAGTAAGAAAGACAGTTAATAGATAAATTAAATAGAATTATAATTTAGAAGAATATTCCTTCCTGCCTCTCCCAATTAAATTTTTGAAAAATCTGTCTTTGCTTAGGGTGAAATACAGATCTGCCTGTAGCTTAGTGTGAGAAACTGTATTTCTTTACAGATTTTGGTGACTTAGATACATGCATGCTGTAAGGATCTGTGTCATCTCTCATTACATTCTGTTCTATGCAAAAAAGGAGAGTAAAATCAGGACAGCAGATAAATGCCTCACCAGGCACAATCAACAGCTACATGTCAACAGGAAATATACTTGAATCCTGGGAGAACCCGGGCTTTTAATTATGAAGTGAATGTTTCTTTATTTAGTGATTTAGCAAATGGTTTTAATTTAACCTTGCGGTAGGTAGATGTCACTTGGTATTAATACAGTTCTCTTTCTTTATAGAGACCACATTCCCTTTCTTCAGAATTTAACATTAACTGCTGTAGTACAGTAGTGTTGGAGCCCACACGTTTTTTAAGGTTCAAAACATTCCTTGTAAAAAAAACAAAACAACACAGCTAACTTATTAAGAAATCAGCTTGCAGAGGTTTGCTGGTTAACCTTTTAAAAAACTGTGCTTTAATTTTAAAGTATTAATAAATAAACCACAGCAAAATTCTAAAGAACTAATAAATCTAGAACCAGTAAAACTTAAACACAACAGATGAATTTTTTGTCAAGATTTAAATGTAACTAAACTTTTGTTGGCACGTTGCTAGAATTATATGCTGGCAAAGGGTGGAAATTAATAACAAAGCCTAAGTGAAACTAGTTGAAGCTGTTTGTAAAGCTTGATTTTTCTGAGCAGTTTTCTGCTGGTTTTTGGTGCAGATAAATACTTGCTGCTCATGTAAAAGAAAAAAGTTATATGAACAGTATGTGAAGGTATTAGGTTAGAAGTTGTAATTAGAAAAACCCCTCTTACTTACACCTTTGATAATTTCCTATAGTAAAGGAGAGAAGTCATACAATTAAGTAGCTTTTGGATTTATGTGCAGGCATCATTGCTTTTTTCTGAGTAGAATTATAAGCACTTGATTTCAAGTCAACACTCCTAGAAGAGAAACTTAACAATTTATCTTCCAATTTGCAGTTCCTGGATAGTTCTGTTCTTTCTGTTGTTGGGATTTCCTTGGTAGTGGGTTTAGTATGAGAAGTGGAGATCTGTCACTGGTAATCCTCTTACCTGCAAACACCAAACCATGCAGTATCTAAAGAACCTTTCAAGTCCTATTCTTATCTTTAAATTTCTGTCATGCGTTTATTAAGTACGACAGCAATTGAACAGCAGTAAAGACCGAGTCTTTAAAAAAGCCTAGTGTATTAATAGAAACAAATCTTATTTATTCTTGTCATTAACAATGTCTTATGAAGAGTAAAGGGGAAGAGGTGCTGCAGCCTTGTAGTCTGTCTCTAGCCTGTAGGTCTGCATTCCCAGGTAAAAGGTCAGATCTATATTTTATATTGCTTTGCCTTTTAGTCCTTTGGATTGTGTATTCCTGGTTTCAAGACTCACATCCTAACAGTCACTCTAGAGGCATTAGCTAACATCAGGACAATACTCAGGGATTGGCAGCTATTTTTAAAGGAAGTACAAGAGAAAATAAATTCTGATTCTGGTGCCATGGTGTCTAATATATAGCTGATACATTCCAATTGTAACCACTCTGGTTAAGTCATGCTCATTGTTACAATCAGAGTTATTGGTATTTTTCTACTAAATCTGTTCTGCTTTTATTTGCAGCTATGTCATCTTATCTTTTAATTGTCAAGTCTGAGCTTCCTGGTGCTGTTGCGGGGTTCTTAAGTGGAGACGAGAGTGGGTAAGGAAAAATGCTTCATACGGTCTGTCCTTGTCTGGAAGAAGAAAGTGGTTCAGGAGTGCTGAAGGAGATGAGTACTGACACTTCCCTCTGATCTCAAATGCTAAAAAAATTAGTTATTTACAGGAGTTCTTGGGATATGAAATGTATTTGGCATGTGCAAACCTTCTGCAGCGCAGACGCACAGAGCGTGAGTCCTTCTTTCCTCATAGCAATTTCCCATCAGAGGACCTTAAAGTCAGTGGCAAAACTCCATCTACAGAAATCTCCCTTCTGTAAAAACTTAACAGGGGAAGCAGGAGGGAGAGGAGGAGAAAGATTTAAGCTGCTGTCATGTTATCACTCACATATTTCAAAACCACAGTACAAAAACTGGCAGACATTTAAATTTAAATATTTTGTTGTCTTGCTCCAGTAATTGGACTTGTCTTGGGAAGAATGCCAGGTTTCCAGACTTGGTTTATAATTCCTTAACTTGGCTCCCTGTAAAGAAATTATTATTTGCAATTGAGCTATAAAGCTGTATGCAAGGACTGTCCCCCTCTGATTTCTACCAGAACCGCTGCAAGAAATCTGTGCATGTGCTAAGACAAACATCGTAGCTTCAGCACTGAAAGATCTTGTTCCAGTTGTTCCAGGGCTGCTGTGAATAACCCTGTATCTTAGATTGTGTTACAACTGTTTTTCCAAACGGCTGGTTTTGAGATGTTTTGAGCTCAAAATTTCTCTGGATTGAACTGGTGGTGGAATTGTCTCAAGGCTGTCTGATGTTGTATTATTCCTGAATGTTGTGGGTGAATTTTAAGTTTGAAATCAGTTTTTTAAAAGGTACTTTAGTTCATATTTTGTCATTTATAACTTTTCCATTTTATAACAAACATTTTGAGAAATGAAGTGTGGTGGTAATCTTGCTTTGTGTCTTTCTGCCCTCCTGGTCCTTGCAATAATGTTTTCAGTAAGGGGCTTTTTTCCATTGTTTTAAAACTATTATGTTTTATTTATGTATGTCATTTTTAGTCTGCTGATGTATCTCTTCCAGCTGGGGTAGTCATCAGCTTTTCATCTGGGTGCACTCACCTTCTCCTTTAAGATCATACTTTTAACTTTGCTCTTCATAGACAGTGGTATTGAGCCTGCCACTTTATCTGCTGCATGTGCCTTACAGGTTGTCCTCAAATTTAGCATATGACATCACTTACTGCTGCTTTTAATTTTACATCAGCTCTGCAAAGTGACTTTTCCCAACAGAGATATGCTTTTAAACAAACAGCTTGTGCAGACTTGCAACAGGTAGAAGAATCTGGAAGTCCTGCATGCATGCTAAAAGGATTGTTCTGTCTAAAAAAGGCAGTGTAAACAGCTTTTTTTATGGAACTGCCTATTTGATAACACTCTCAGCAGCTTTCAGTGCTTATCAGGGTCCTAGTGCAGAACATGCAGACAGATTACAGAAGTTGAATTGATAATTACAAATCATCTGAGCCATGGTAGTTCTCAGTGCACTGTCAGCAGTGCCACCACCTATCCTTTTTAGTTGAAGTTACAGTTTGATGTGGGAACAAAGTTGAATTTTGCATTTTGAAAGAGCTGAAGTTATCCACAGGAGTAGAAAGCACAGCTCAAGTGGTAAGCTGTCAGTCCGTGTCTCATACTGTTTCTGTCTCTGTTACTGGGAGTTCTGCTGATTCAGGTTTATTTGACACAATTTGACTCCTCTGTTCTTTGCCCAAGCAAATGTTTCAAATGCAGTGGTCAAGAAGTATTCCAGGTGCATGCAGAAAGCTGGCCGTCTCTGTATGCCCACATCTGTATTTCATATCTTTTGCCATCTTAATTGCCATGGCAGGTGATAATCCTTTTTGTGTATTTGTGTGATGTGCTCTAGATGATCCTGCTCTGTCAGGGGGTTGTGCTACATGATCTTTCAAGGTCCCTTCCAACTCCTAAGATTCTGTGATTCTGTGATTTCTTTGCAGATGTTAAGCATGGTTTTTTTTTACTAACACGTTTTAAATTGTGGGAAATTGTTCAACAGAACTAGTTAATCAGATATGAACCCTTAGTAGCAACTGATTTATGCAAAGGCCATAAATATCGACTAGTTTGAGTGAACTATTTTAACTAGACCACTTGTTTCCAGATGTGGCTGCATAACTGTTTGAGCTTTTTTTTTTTTTAAGTCATTAAACCACCTGATACAGTTGCACTTGGGAGCTGAATTTATCTTCAACTGTATCAAAAGTGTCAGTTAAACTATCTGTGAAAAATATTTTATATGCATATAGCATTGCAAAGCATACTTTTGGGAAAGCCATTTAAAGAATGTTCTACCCCTTGAATTACTTTTATAGATAAAGGTTAACAGGTGTGTGTGTGTGTTTGAAAGGCTCTAAGCCAGTGTGCAATATGTTCATGTCTTTATTAAAAACCAAAAACATACGTTATGAGCACTTGTTAATTGTGAGTTGTTTCAGTCTGTCTGTATAATAAGAATTCCACATAGTTTTGATGACACAAACATAATTTCAAATAAGGATTGTGTTTAAAAAGTTGTAATTTGTGAGCCCTCTGTTAACATTTAATGACCCTGTCAGGATGATATGATTGTTGCAATTAAGTTGTCTAGCTTATGTGTTATATAATTGATATGGACTGAGAGTAAGATCCTAATATAGAACATGTGAATTTGTTGTCCTGTTGCATTCAGGAATGAAATTACTGCAATTTATAAATGTCTGCTTTTAGTTAAAATGTGGGGGAGGGAGGAGGAACATCTGCATGCCAAAGAGTTTTCAGTAGAGTCAGGGATTTATATTCCACAGTTCACATTTGGAACACTTTTGTCATATGGGATTACATTTGCAGATCAAACTGATTTTAAAGGCAATATCAAAACATTTATTCTGCCTTTGGAAAATCAGTGCATTTCTACAACAGTACTTTGAGGAAAAGACAGACACATTTTTTGATAACCAGCAAATGGTCCCACTTTTTAAAATAAAATAATTGATACTCCAAAATTAAGCTGTTAACAGTTGGTTGTTTTTTTCTTCTGCACACCATCTTGTTGCAGTTTTGCCCTCTCCTTTTTCCCCCTCCTCCACTAATGTTTTTTCATTTACCATAAAGTAACCAAAATTTTTTTTCCTCTGTCCTTCTGAGCTAGGGAGCTATGATGGCAACTGTGGATTTGCCACATGCTTAGAACCAGGAGACTTAATAAAGAGGTCCCACATGTACACATCAGAGGCATTTTAGCTGACCTTACATATAATGCAGTATTCATTATACCTTTGCTTGCTGGTAACACTGTTCACCCTAGGATGGATATCCAGCATACCAGGAAAAAAATAAAATTCTGTGAATGCTCAATGCTACAAGAAGAATACTGCAGCAGGGAGCTGATCTTGGCCAAGTTGCTTTTTCACTGTAGCAGTAACAGAACTAGGCTAATGATGTATTTTGATTAATTTTTAATATAGATATTGACACATGAGGGTTACTTTGGTTTTTGATATGGGGAAGAAGCCCTCAAATTTTTCTGTTCATTTATATTACACATTTTCAAACAAGTGTCAGAAGTGGTTGTCCATAATGTAGGACAGTAGTTAATATGTGCATATAGTAATTTTTCTTTAACACAGGTGTTATGGTCCTTTCCTATGATAACTTGAGGTACTGCCTGTTTATTAGGTGCTAACCATATCCTGGACTAAATAAACTTGAAGGTCAAAGGCCAAGGTGTTTATAGGTAGTAAAGTCAGGGGCTGATGTGCAAGATGTTTATCAGTACAGGATATGGTTATTACCAAGTTAGGGAGAGCCACCCTCAAGATGTTTCTGTTTCTTAACAACTTCTGCATCTGTACTTTTGTCAGTTTGGAGATGAGATTTCAATATTTTGAGAGATTTTGAATGCATTGTCACATCATCTGCTGCCTCTACAATGCTTTTTTTATATCTATAGTTTTATGTATAAACATTATACCTGATTTCATTAGCATAATTTCCATCCCTTCTGTCCTTTAATTTTTCTGTGAATGTGCTCAAAGAATGAGTGATCATGTTGTGCAAAGTTAAAGATAAGTAAGTCCTCTCTCGCTCTTCTTTCTTATATCACGTATGGACAGCAAACATAATTTCAGATTAACTGAAAGCTGATTTACTTGTTGCTTTCTTCTATTATTTGAACCCTGTAATGATAAATGTAAGGGAAGTTGGGCAGAAGAGAGAAAAAAAAAAGGAAGAGAAAGCTGGCATGGTTAGAAAATATAACTGAATTTCCAAACAGGTATCTTAGCTTTCTCTTTCAAGCTTCTTGGAAATGGTAGGGAACTAAGGTCACGTAGGAATAACAGATTGGAAGGGAAGTTCAGCTCTAAGTGGGAATGAATGTTGCTGTTTCATCCCGTTGTGTAAACATACAACTCAGTGTAATCCAATTCAGGATACGTGTAGTGGACCATACAAGTACTTCTGTTGGAAATCTGTAGAGAATGAAATACCTTGCCCTCTGATCATTGCTTTGAATAAAGGCAGGGGTTTGCATATTTTGCTGCTTTGCACATATCAGGCCCCTGCTCCATGGAGGTACTTGCCTATGGAACTTTGCCTGCAGTGCTGGTTTGTTACAGGATGTTTCTCTGCATCCTCAATATCTGGGAACTCTATTTTATATCATGATATAGAAACTAGAAATATAAATTAATGCAAATAATGTGAGGCTGGAAATTTATTTTTCTTGTCTTAGCAGTTATTTTGTCTAAGGTAATGGTTTTGAAGTAGTACATATATTTTAAGACTCTTGAGCTTTTTATCAGTCATAAATAGATTTTTTCCAACAGGTCTTGGTACCTTGATGGGAAACTGCTGCTACTGATTACTTCAGTCTGCATTGTTTTTCCTCTGGCTCTTCTTCCTAAAATTGGTGAGTAATTAAAGGAGGGAAGCGAATATTATTCTACTTTAGTAGCAATTACGATTGAAGACTTTAAAACCTTAATGGGTTATTTATTTATTTTAACTGGCAGGGGACTGGTGATGGTGGGGATTACTTAAGTTGTTGCAGTGTGTTCTGCCTTCCAGCCCTGCCTAGTTAACCTATTACTTGGGTTGCAGTAGTATTTTGTCTGCAATACTAAAATAAAATCTTTACAGCAGAACATTAAAGACCTGCATTTACTTACAGCGTGCCATTAGTGGTAAGCCAGTTCTAATTCTGCCCTACAAAACTACATAAATGATCTGTGACAGGCAGTTGGAATGTTGTTATTCTGAGTCCTAAGCCCCAGATACCAAGCACTGTAATAGAAAACATGCACAAAATGTAAAGCTTTAGCTGTACATTAGGATCACTTTCCTTATAAATTCTCTTTTATTTTTACTGTTATTTTACAGGCTTTCTTGGCTACACAAGTAGTTTATCATTTTTCTTTATGGTGTACTTTGCTCTTGTGGTAAGTTAAAAATCTGTGCACAGCTTATCTATTTTTATTTTTTTTTCTTATTGTTTGAATGTTTTCATAAGCCTGTTTTGAAGGGAATTGTCTTCTCCTACCCCCTTAACTTTTTATGTGAAATGTAGAGTTTTCCTTAAGTTCAGTATGTACTTGCTTGGACAGATTACTTTTGTTTTGTTGAGGCATGGAAATGTTTATGAACTTCCAAGCATGTGAAAAGATTTAAAATAATTATATTTTGGACTGGTAAATGTAACAATATTTTTGTTTTGCTGACAGTGCAGTGAAGGGAGCTGGCACATAGACTTTTGTTTCCCTACTAGTAATGGAATGGAATTCTGTTTTCTTAGCTTCTAACCATTACTTACTGCAAGTACTGCAGAAGAAAATTTAATATACTCTAAATAAATTAAATTTACATGCATAATGGAATGACAGGAGTTCAAAAAAAGGCAAAGAAAACTAGAACTTCATTAAGGCACTTTACAAGATTCATTAATACGTCAATGACCTTATTAGTCTTTCCTGCTG